ATGTAAACTTTCACTATTCACACAACTTATCTGAAAAACTAAGGCATGATACTCCTCTATATGGTCAAGATAAAGTATCACTTTTTTCCTAAGTAGCTATTGTACTGATGAAATGCAAAGAAAAGCAGAAACACTGTCTTGAAACATTTCTATGGAGATTTTTTAGCTTTTCACCTAATCCATAAACTACTCCATTATTTTGATGTTAAAAAACAATACAGCTCTATTAATACCAATTTGAATGCATTTGGGATCCTGCTAAATTATTTCTTCTTTCATAGTATTGGTTATATGTAGGATTTCTTTTTAGTGCTCAAAAGAAGTGATGGGTAGTTTGGATAAGGATTGGTGGTTTTTTAACTTCTTCCCCCCCAAAGCTGATGTTTTGGGCTACCTAGGTTTTTTTTTTATGGCGGAGGGGGCAGGGGAGGGCGGCGAGAGAAGGGAAAAAGGCTGTATATAGAATTATTGAATAGGCCTACACTAAAATTCTTCCTTGACCAATGAGGATGCGGGCAGAGAGAGGTAAGGTGCAATAGCTGAAGTGTAATAATATCTGTGTAATTTTTAAAAATGTACAAACTCTCCTGCTGCCCCACCTCGTCCCCCTCGTCGTATGTGCTGGTACCTCTGGATGGTCCAGAAGCCATTTTAGAACTCAGGAAGCAAAATATGACTTACACTTGTGCTTTTGCAGGTGCTGTGGTGGCTAGGATAACCTTTGCTCGTTTGCCGGGTGTGTTACCATGCTGTTATTTAATGTCTTTGAGGATTAAAACCTGCACAGAAAATTCCAAACCCACATCCTAACACCTGAAGCTCGCACAATGTTTCTATAGCAGATGGTAAAACATTTCACTCTACCCTTAATTTACCAAGTTAATACTCAGATAGGGGTGGGGGGCTGTTATTCTTTAGAGGTATTGCTGAAGAATCCATACTCGATTTTCTGATCTATTCTGGGGTGAAAAACCAAGAAGACCCCTTTAGGTATTTTGCGCACCCCAGCCCCACACAGAGTCCCTACTGGCCTACAATTCTCGCTGTTTCACTCTGAGGGTCTTCCCAAATGAACGTGCATTTTCAGTCCTGGACGTTTAGTAATTTATGGGAGCAACAGCAACACCGTAGGGGATCTCCATGAACAGTCTAAGGGCTGAGAAGCCTGAGAGGTATTTGCCTCCAAGCATTTGGACGCGAGGCTCAGAGCCCGGCTGTCCTCAGCTGTCACCGGGAGGTGGGGTGGGGAAGGAGGAGGGAGTGCTGGCATTGGCACTGGGCATGGTGTTGCTCCAGCAGCCTCGCCGCGTCCCGCCGCCAGCCCACCTCTGCAGAGAGCTAGGCACTCAGCCGCCCGCTGCCCCCGCTCCCTCGCCCTTCGGCCCCAGTCCTCAGGCGCAGGTCGCCGGGGACCATCCAGTGGGATGGCCGCCGCCTCCTCCGGGACCGCCGCCTGAGGGCCAAGGCCGGGGGACCCTCGCCGCCCCAGTAGCCCGCAGCTCCCCGGGCGCTGCGGCGGCGGCCGGGAGGCGCCGGGCCCGCTTCTCTTCCCCGCCCCCAGCTCCCGCCTACTGCCCGCGGTGCAGCGCGCCCGCTCTCCCCAGCGGACTGGGGCGGCAGCGCACACTCACTCCGAGGGCGCCTCCAAGGTTACCCGCAGGGTTGGGGCTGGGGCAGGCTTCGGCCACTGGCCGCCTCCTCTCCGTTCCTAGCTGCTGCGTTCTTACCGCTGCGACCCTCCCGCCGCTCAACGGCGCCTGGGATCCATGTACCAAAGCCGAAGAGGCTCCAAAGTCCCGGGAGGGAAGTCGAGTTGGGAGGCAGACAGGCGTCAGGGCGGAGGACGGGGGGGCGGCCTTAGTTGGGTCTGGGTGCCCAGAGAACAAGGTCAGGCGAGGTCTCGGCAGGAGGGGGCTGCGGCTTCGGCGGGAGCCCTGCGCCGGGAAGGCTGGGCCGGGGGGCAGCAAGCAGGGGTTGCCGGCAGCTTCGAGGCGCCCGAGGCGCCCCGGCCCAATGGGGGGCAGAGACAAGAGGGCTGCCAAACCTGCCGAGGAAACTAACTAAATAAAAAGAGACTGTTATTTAAGGCGCGGAAATTTGAAATATTTGGACAGGAAGAGAAAAGAAAAGAAACCTTAGAGAGGGAGGGAAGAAAAAAAAAAAAAAAACGCGAGCTAACGGTTTTGAAACTCCCCCACCCCCACCCCGGGCTTTTCTGAGCGCCCTGAGGGAGCTCTGGACTCCAGTTTCTTCTCTAGGGATCAGGGAGCAGCAGTCGGATTTTGGACAGTCTCAAAGGGACAGAAAGGATGTCTTCGCAAGCCCCTCCAAAGGGGGCTTGGGTTGTCTCTGGGCAGACTTTTACCCCAAGTCTCAGGCTGGAAGATTGTCTCCTGCCTTTCACTAGGTCCCTGCGTGGACCTGTTTGTATGCGTGAATGTTTCTCTCTCTCTCTCTCTCTCTCTCTCTCTCTCCCTCTCTCTCTCTTTCTCTGTTTTGAACTGCTACACCGCCTCTTAGAGCCAAGAGATGGACTCCCCGCTCCCCGCCCCCGTACCCATTTGAGGAAGGTCACTTAGCGCAGTCGGGAAAGGATACGAATACGACCCTTTCTCTCTGCAGCGCTGTGCTCTTGCAGCGCTTCTGGGTTATTGCTTCTACCCCGGGCAAAAGCCGAAAGCACCTTTTTGGGAACTGAGATTTCGAAACCAGTCCCGGGCCACAGATTCCACAACGTTAGTCTGATAAACACGATGGGGGGAATTTATAATACTGTATTACCAATTGAATTGCTTGCCCGGGACAGGATTATTTTATTCACCCAGCGCTGTGTGTGTACACAAGTTCATCACACCATTACAAGATGCGTAATGTTTATCAGAAAACTGTTGATTCACTACCGAAATATGGTAAAATGCAGCTTGCCTAATGCTCGGGGACCAGAACGTTGACTGAGGTAGAGTTAGTGCTCCACCTTCCCCAGGTGTAAGTCCCGATTCAGCTTATACTGGGCAAAGGCTGAGCCTGAGTTTCCCGACGTGGATGTGGACACAGTGGATAACTGAATTTAATAGCGCATCTTTGTTTAGCATCCTCCATCCTTTTTATAGCGTCGTCCCCTGGGGTTCTGATCACTCTATAAATTAGCACTTGCCTCTCTCCCTGAGTGGCAAGTGCTAATTCAGAACTTATTCAGACCCTTCCCCACCTCAGCTCGCTGCAAATTAGACCCCATTAAACTCCACCACCATTCTTCTATCTTATACATTTCGGCATATTCGAGAGTCTTTCTGAATATTATCGAGGTTTTTTGAGAGAATGAATAATGCCTTTTCATATTTCCTAGATGGGACCACATAACTCATTTCTAAAATACTTAAATTAGCAAAGCAATTTCCTGCGAAAAGCCAGAGAAATGTGGTGATGTTTAATTCCTAGCTCCTTCTCCCCTTATTGTGCTCCAACAACCTAAGAACAAAGCTACTGCAAAAGTACTTATTTTTAGCTTTATGAAGGTCCTGTAACTTTATATTTGAAATCTCTAAAGAGCAATTTTAATGCTCTGAGTTGGTGGATGCTGACAAGACCATTAAACTTGACTTTAAATTCAGAAACGTCCTTCTTTACTGTTGCAACTTGTAAGAAGTGTTGTTTTAATTTTTTAGCAATAGTCTTGTGTTTAGAAAATATTAATCTTAAGTAGTGTTTTGTTCATTGTTTCTAGTTTTAAAATCCAAATACAACACATTTTCTTCAAAATCACAATTTTTACTTTTTTCCAAATTTTCCTAAAGTGTATTTTAAGTTTAATTTCATGTTGCTATCAAAAAATAAATGTATTCAGTAACCTGTGATTAGAGGTGGCAGAAACTGAAATCTTGTTGCACTTTACTTATGGAAGGTGAACCTTAATGCCAAATGAAAAAAATTAAGCTTTTTCTCCTATATTCTTTTCATATTATCATGGAAAACAATTTATTGAAAACCACTTGCCTGCAACCATTCCAATTCTTGTCAGGGGAGGTATCTGAACCACGTTCTTCAATAAACCTTGAAGTATTTTGTTCTTTTTGGAGAGAGGGCAGGGAGCTTATGAAGCAGGAGGAGGAAATTTTCACATAAAACATTTTTGTTCATGTGGGAGATGATGAAGAAAGTATTTATAAATTTATAAATGGTAACTGCATTGAAATCCTTTGGTTAAAATATTTAATTAAAATGACAAAGTAAATTGTAGATGCTGGAAAACTCTCTTGGAAATCTGATATTTCTATTTCACTAAAAAATTATTCTTAAAAATATTTTATATGCCTTTAATAAAAAGTTTTGTGGGAATCAAGTACTTTATGTAGGCGTAGCCTATTTATTTACTGTAAGTTTCTATGTTTACTACACTGCAGCCCCTAAATTATTTATGACATATGTAATTTATATATTTTTCTTGCTGAGCTTTTTATTCCCTGAAATTGATATTTGCATTATTTTTAATACTTAAACATTTTGTAATTTTACATTTCTGTCATTCAGGGAGAAAAAGTCAATGTTGCACTCAGTATACTCATGCTATCATTTTTGGAAACTTTATTAAGTAGCCAATTGTTTCATTAGTGATTTTTTTAAAAAAAAAATCAACTAATGGGAAACACTTTTAAGGTGAGTTTCCTTTAAAAGTGAATTTAGAGCTAACAATTGTTTTTAGATCGCAATTCTGAAACTTGTTTCTCAACTAAGTTTGAAAAAAAGGGGAGATTGAACATTAGGATAAATTCACACTGAAATAATTTCAGGTTTGAGTTTTAAAAAAAGTTGTTTCTATCCTATTTCAAAGCAAAAATATAAGGTACTAAGTAAACTCTTTCAGGAGAAGCAGGAGGAGAGGAAGAATAACTGAATCCTCAAGAAAATATATCTTGTTTTTCAATTAGTCTATGTTTTCTAATATCAAGACATTAAAACGTCATGATCTTCTAGCCAGAGGTAAATTATGTGGGGGTTATAGAGAAGTGGAAATCACAGAAAAACATTGTCCTGTTCTGAAAAAGTGTTTTAATTAGGCAAAAGCATCATCAAGACAACCCATTTTTAAAACAAAGTCTCCAAGTTGGGTATTGAGACTAGCAAAGGGAGAAGCAAGGAAAAAGTCCAGGAAAGATAAAATAATAAGACAAAGCTATCTGCAATTACATGTTAGGACTTAAGATTTTAAAGGCGGAAAGGATGTTGCTTAAATATATTCATTAACTTGTAAGATTTAGCAGTTTCAGAAGATTTTAAAAACTGCTTAAAATATGACAAAACCGAATTTTAACAAATGCCATTAAAATTGGACAACCACCCATTTAACTGACAAAATAGGAGGCAGTGTGGGAGACTCCTCCCCACATTCATTGTAGATTCTCAGCTCCCTCCGCCGGGTTTCCCTCCATCAGGCTAACGACCTCGTTCCTCCGGTAGAGCCTGGCCAAGTCGCAGGCGGTGTACCCTTTATGGTTCCGATGCCCCACTTTGCTGGCGGTGTGCTTCACAAGGAACTCAACCACCGGGAGGTGGCCTTCTTTGGCAGCCAAGTGCAAGGGCAGGTTCCCTTCATTATCCTCGATGTTAACATCAGCTTGAAACTCCAGCAAAGTCTGTAAAGTGTCCAGGAAACCTGCTCTGGCAGCATCGTGAATGACAGCGAAACCAGTTCCGTCTTTCAAATTGGGATTAGCACCTCTAAGCAGTAGTCTCCTGGCAATCTCGGGATTTCCAAGTTTCATAACCTAGAAAAGAAGAATAAAGGATAGTAACCTTTAAAATGCACCTATTATAAGAATATATTAAAATATCTACATGTCCTATTTTTGTAACTATTTTTGGTGAAGGAGTACTTGGGAAAGACCCATATGATGGACCTTGAACGACTAAGTTGCAGGAAGGAAAATACTTGTTATTTAAGAAGAAAACATACAAATTGAGCTTCTATGGTGGAATATCTTAAATGGGCCCCAAAATACAATACATTGATCAATAAAATAGAACTAGTCCAAACTGTATAAATTTCACTCACAAATCAGTTCTCTATCTTCCACGAAGAATTGTATAATTTCAGGAATTTATTAATATCAAATAAGTGAAATTTGATATTGAAATAAGAGTCTCCTTCTGTGCTTGTTTATATTCATAAAATGTACTTAGAGTATTTATTCTGGAAAATCAGATGTGGGCAAAATTTATTTCCTATTTGATTTACTGAAAAGGAGAAGAGTGAGTTTAATTCCCAAAGAAGTGTTTCCACATATCAGAACCCATCACCTAGTGCAAAAATGATCTATTAAAATATCCAGACCTGATATTTTCTTAAATGATTAATTTTCACAAGTTCTCTTTCAATAGATACAGTGCCAAATTTCCAAATGTTTTTTAAAAATATTTTTCTTTGCAAGTTATTACATATTGGCAAATAAGTGTATTCAGTGTTTAGAATCCTTCACTTGAAATTTTAAAATGTTACCGACAATTAAGGTGTTAAATAAGTAACAGCGTTCTACATAGTTTATGATATTGATTTATCTAAAACTAAGTTCATGATATGCCGTGTATTAGATAGGAGATGACTGTATGGCAACTGCTCTGGAAAAGAATGAAAGTCATCCTACCATGTTACTTACTGTTTCTTAAAGTTCTAACTAGCCTCCTGATTATCAAGTGAGCAAAATAAGAGAAAAATAAGATATTTAATGTGTACTTTGAGACACAGACAGCTTTGTCTGTGGTTTAAGCCCTTAATAATCAACCGGTGATCCCATCTTACTTCCTTTTGCAGTTATTGTCAGGCATTTAGGGATAGCTTTATTTGTAAACTGCCAACACTTTAAAGGCCAGAATGTGGTATTAAAATGTGCTGTCAACATACAAATAATTCACATGATAAAGACAGATCTACTGTTGTTTGAATACATTTCATTCTAATAAGAGGTCTCTAATATGCTCTCACAATTATAAAATATCTTGTAGAGCAGCATGCAGTTATATACACATAATACATATAATTTAGTTGTGAAATACCATAGTCTCATCAATATGCCAGAAAATTTCATCATTTTAACCAGTTTCATTTATATTTAGGTATACTAATAATACTATAAGTTTATAATAAATAGATTGCATAACAGACATATTTGTGAAATTAAATATAGTCCATTGGAAAATAATACAAAGTTGATGTATCCCTTTAAAACGTTTATTTTTAAAAATAATCACAAATTAAGTAATAAAATATGTTTAGAATGAATAATGTTTTATAAATGCAAACTGTATAGATGGTCAAGATATTAAGCTTCCCTGTTGATAAAATCCTGCTGGCTTTTAGCCCTTTATTTGGGGCAATGGTAAAAATGATTCATAAATTATTTTTCAAGAACTTCAATATAATATACTTCTTGGTTATTAAAAAATGACATAATATAATTTTTGCCACAATTGCCTCTAAAGATTTAGTCACTTTTAAGTACCTGGACTGGGAAAAATAAGGAACAGACACATTGGATCTTCGTAAAGCAAATGTACGATTAGGCCTTTGATATTATCCTGATTGAAAAGCTTACTCCAAGCAAGGGGAAAAACTTTTACAACTGAGTTAAATAAACATAAATGTAGAAGGAAATTTGCCATCTTTCACAGAAAATAATAGTAATATGGAAATTGTTTTAAAAGAAAGTTCTTTCTTGAGTTATGACACAACCTCAGAATCAGGATTATACATACTGAAAATAAGCCTTGAGACTCCTGTTTGTATGTGTTTCATTATATGTACAAGGACTAAGCCACAATAAGTGGGTGTTAGTATCTTGGTAAGTATGTTTAATATAAACAAGATTGCAGAATTTTCTTTAAAATATTTGTCAAACAACTTTTTTTCAGGATTAATCTCCCAGTCTTCCTGTTTGTCAAAAATCCTGTAAGATCTTATTCTGAACATGGGTTAAGCGGTTCATTGTTTGTGAGATTTATATAATCTTTTATTTTCAATAGGAAAATTTTAAATATATTAAAGTTGTGGCATTGGTATCATTATCAAATCTGGTAAGTAGAAAAAGAAAAACTTCCTCTTCCCATTTAATCTACCTGAAACAAGATAAATTATTTAATATCTATTCATAACTTTCCATAATACTGAAAATTTTGCAAGGTCAGTGTATTCTGATTTAAAATGTATAGACTGTATAGTCTTTGTCAGTGAATAGTATATCTCCTGCTGCTTAAATTTCTAATTTTTGTAACTAAAACAAAGCACCCTAGGAACTCTCTCCCCAGTTTTCAATGCTTCAAGTGTGGCATTTCCGAATAAGAATGGCTCATAAGAATATCATCAGAACTCTGGTAAAGCATCTATCTGAGACTACTTTCCCATTTTTTTTTTTCTGTTCTAAGCTTTTCAACTAAGTTACATGATAACGCTCAGAGGAGGAAAAATATTATCAGGTATAATACTTGGCAGCTGGACACGTTTCATTTGTTGCTTGTAAATTTAATTACTAAAACTTAGAACATACCACGGCATGACCGCAGAGACAAAAACATAACATGAGCTTTGATTAGAAAATTCAACTTTTTATTCCTCCTCAATCCTGAACGGATTGATAGTATTACATTAACTGTGAAATGTACATCCTGTCCCCGTGCCCAGTCCACCCATTCCAAATGAGGAAAGGTCGTTTGTCAAAACTTGAAGAATTTGAAGGAGAAACACCCTCACCAGCAGTCAAGAAAATTAACGTTAAAGTCAATTATTGGAGTATAATACGGAAACCACTAATAGCAGTGTATTTACTTCAAATAATAATCATAATAATGTGTTTACAGAGCTGTCTACCCCCCCCCAAAAAAAACTCGGCGTTGCTATGATTACTTTCAAATCCCCACCGTCATAAAAACATTCCAAAAATTAAGACCAAACCTGGAACCCACTTGATATCGAGGATATTATTGGATTTGACGAGTTTGTTCAAAGTACGTCATTTTGGGGAGTTGGATCCATTTAAAGATATAAAATATGGCAACCAACTAGGTTTAAAAACAGTGAAATTTTGCACCCCTGAAAGCTTTAAAGCTGTTATTCTAGAGACCTGGGTCGCGTAGGCAACATTATTGACCTGTTTTCCCCACCTCTCTGGATACCAACCTGCAGCGCAGTCCTTCCAAATCCATTTTGTGCATTGACGTTTACATTATTTTGCAACAAACTAGTAAGTTGTTCTACGTCCCCCCTGGCAGCTGCGGACGCCAACTCGTTCCCCCAAGGTTCGGCCATTCTTTAGGGTCCTGACGATCGGGAAAAGACGAATTAGTTGTTTTTCTTTTTTCCCTTTCCTTTGCTCCTAACCAGGCTGCATGATGGCATCGGAGACTGACAGAAGGACTGGGATGGTTAATCTGGAGTAGAGCTTGGTAGTAAATACTAGTAAGATCTGCCTGCCAAAAGCCCGCCCCTCGATTCACACGTGATTATTCAGCAAAACTGAGCCATTGGAGAGGGGCTCCGCTCCTCGCTTTTTAGCTTAACCCCTATGAAGAATTCTGGTGATTCAACAGAGAGACACAGAGACACATTCCTAGTAAATTACTCTGGACATAAAATGTAGGCAGAGCTGTCACTACAACACTACAGATCTCTGTGAGGAATGTGTGCGGAGGCTTAAGGGACTAGATCAGGGAGAAAATACCGCGGAAGAAAACACATTTGGGGGGTGGAGGGAAGAAAAGGCATTAACCCACCCTTGTTCACGGTGGTGACTTGAGCCGCGCGAGCCAGAACTGCAGGGGAAGGTCCTCCGAGAGGCTCGGTCTCCATCCGTCACGCCCGAAGGGGTAGTCCTGAGTCCTCCGCTGCTGGGAGAGCGCAGCTGTAGCTGGATGCTGACGTACTCCGGGGGGTTAAAGATGATCGCCAAAGGCAAACGGGAGTAGTAGTTCCGTGGTCCTCAAGTTATAGGTCGTAACGACTCCTCAGTGGCCTCGGCTTCTCCTGAGGAGCCTTTATTTGCGTCCGGGCCAATCCGCCGGCTAACGCCGCGCAGGAAGGCTCCGGAGCCCGCCCGCCGGGCCACCGCAGCCCCGCCAAGCCTGAGAGGCTGTGGGAGCCAGCCTCGGCGCTCGTCTTCGGAGACTGCCGGGCGCCCGGCCGGCCTCGGGCGAGAGGGTCATGCCGACCCCACCGGGTTCCGGGACTTCCAGCTCCGTGAGGAAGCGGATAGCGATGCGGGAAGCGTCTATGGGGCTCGGGCTGCTGGGGCAGCGCGTGGCAGCATCGCGGCTGCACCGGGCAGCCCACCGGTAACTTCCCGCCTACGACCGAGCCAGTTCAGGCTTCCTACTGTAGACGCTCACTGAGCTGCCGCCGCCGGTTTTCGGAGGGCCTCCGGAGATCGGAGGGTCCTGGGAAGCTCGAGTCACGCTCCGAGTATGGGGAGTCACTACAATCCTGGACACAACCAGTCCCGCTGGCCTCTCGGCGAGAACCCAGCAGCTTCGGCGACCCGTGCCACTTCGCCAACCTCTCGCGGTGCCCCGGCCTCTGCCCCTAGACTGGTTCACCGGCAGGACAGCGGCCCCCAGCCAGCTGTGACCTGGAGTCCAAATGGGTAGCCCAGCTTCCTTCTGAGTCGCAGCGCTCTCAGTGACAGTTTCTTTTGTAGCTGGTCTCCCCCAAATCGCCGGTCCCTGCTCCCTTCACTCCTACAGACACTTGAGAGTTGTCCCCCTTTCTGCTTTTTCTCCCTCCCTTCTTTGCTTCTTCTTTCGCTCAAACAATTGCTGCTTCTGTTGCCGTTGCAGAGTTGGTGCCGGTTTCTTCTCTCTTTTTTCCGACCTCATCAGCTTTTTTTGAAAAGAAAAAAATTGAGCGCTTTTTGAGTTGAAAAACCCGCCCCCATTTTAACGGCAGAATTTTAAGGAGGCTCGGCAGAGTTGCCGCTCCGCGGGAGCGGGAAGGCCGGGCACCGCCCACGCCCCGCCCTCCGCCCTGGTGGCGCTCTCTCCCCTTCACCGCCTCACGCTCCGCCCCTGCTCGGGCGCCCAGACTCCCGCCTCCTCGCTCCCCGCCTCCTTCCCTCGGTCCCTGGTTTGGCTCCCACCCGCGCGCCCCGCGGCCTCCTCTGGCAGGCCGGCGCAATGGAGTTGGCGACGCGAAACCCCGGGCAGCCGCGAGCTGCCTGGGGCAGCCCTTGAAGGGAAAAGGCCTGTTAATTAACACGGTTGCCTAGAGCCGCAGGGCCTTAGAGGCTGGGCGCCGCTGGCTGCTGGAAGACCGAGAGCCGGCAGGCCTCTGCGCTCCCCCGCTAGGCTCTCAAAGATCCCGCGACCAGGCCTGCGCTGCCGCCTCCTCCTCTGGGGCTCGCGCTGTGTAAACTTGGCCTCCTTCTCTCTGCGGGCCTCGGCCTCGCACCTGCCCGATCAGTCCAGGGCCGTGGTGGGCAGAGGTGCCCTGGGGTTGGAGGGAGAGACCCGGACTGACAGCAACAACAGTGCTCAACAAAAATCTTTTACAGAGTGATTTTTAAGAGTACTAAAGACATGGTATATAGGTAAGAAATCATGACAAACTCTGAAACCTTAATGTTCCAGGGACTCGAAACTGAAATTCTCCATTTCTTCAGGGAAAGGGAGAAGAGTAATTGACTTTAAAGCACAACTTAAAATAAGTCCTGAGAAGGTTTTCTAACAAGGCCATTTCTTTATTGGCCAAAGTTCTCACTTTGGGGGCTTGTTTTTTGGGGGGTGGGGGGAAAGGGTGTCTAAATGTAAATCATTTATTTAAATCATCGGAGACAACAGTTCTCTCTGTACTTTTAAACTTCCCCTTTTAGCTTTGTACATTAATTAACTACAGCTTTCTATATTTTTTGTTCTTAAAAATATCTAACACGGTTACATGATGCATCAAGTGGTCAAAATGAAACCAAGCAAAAAATGACAAGTGGTCTAATTAGTCGGCTTCTAGCAAGCATATCCTCAAGCAACATCTGTACTCAGCTCCTTGAAGTATACTGGGGATATTAGCAACAAAAACACCAGAAACATCTGGATAATCATGTAGCAACAGATTGGCTGGTACGTGTGTGTGGGGGGTCGTGTAAACTGGGAGGAATCTGGCAGTGTTTTCTTTAACTGAATTGTTGAGAAAAAAAATAACCAGAGCTTTTTTCTTAGGTAACTAAACTTGAAATGTGAATCAAGCGTGAACTACACCACAAGAAATTAACTCTTCTCTTTTCTTACACTTATTTAGACATTTGAAATAGAACATTTAGGATTCCATTTTCTTACCAGTAAATACCATAAATAATACAACTTACTTTTGATTATTCTGGGGGACTTACTATGTAATTTTTTTAATGCATCCGGAGGGTGTGATGATAGAGTAGCACTGTTGGCTGATAAAAGATAACTGGCATTAATCCAATTGATGAGAATTGTTTTCTAGGATTATTATGGTTTCTTGCTAAGAGAAGATACTGTAATGAGGAAGAAAACTATAATTCATTTTAACACATTGGTACACATGTTATAATTTTCATGAAATAAAGTACTTCTGCTGAGTAACAGTAAATAAAATTTATGGCAATTTAAGAGGCATACAGTAGAGCTAGATTAAGATTTTTGGAGGTACTAAGCACTGAAAAGGTTTTGATGTCTTATCACCTCACCGCATATGTAAATAAAATAAAAATAATACTAAACAAAAAAAAAGTGTAAAAAAGTCCAACAAAGTTGCTTTTGCTGAAATATTAAATCCTTTTAGGAAAGTATTTTTGTTTATTTTTTACTCTGATGTACCTGGTGCCCTAAAGCATAGATATGCTTAGTCTGCTTATTGTGTAAATTAGACGTGGTAGCACAGAGGTTTTAGTCTTAGCTCAGAGAGCATAAGTAAGCACTCCAAAGTCCCTCCAATGAAAATGTAATATTCATTGAGCGCCAGTTCACTGAAGTAGATTCAAAAGTATCTCTGCCTTCAGTTAGCTTATATTCTAACATGGTATACAAGAAAGATTCACAATTAAGTATCTATATATTGAAAATAGTGGTTTTTCTTTTAACGTAGTAATGATATATTAATCAAATACTGAAAATAGAGGCTTTATAGTTGGATATTAAATACTTATTGTCATGAAATTTTTTTTCAGCAGTTCATGCACATTTTAAAGGGTTTATAGAAATATAATTTAATCAGATTACTTTGTGACTTTTCCTCACTGCACAGTTTCTGAATGATTAAACTTATGGACATATGTATATGGTATTTACAATTTCTTTACCTAGTTTCAAAGTCTCCCTCTTTGTTGTATTTATAGATCTAAGAGAGGTGGAAAACAGACGGGTATCCCATGGGGGACCTTTTAATCATTTCATAATTGTGGCTTTGGCATTTTATTTCTGAGATTCAGCAGGCTTTTTCATGTGGGTACTCACATCACTTATGGAAGTGTTTTTTTGTAAAAGTAAGAAAAAATATTGTCCAGTAAGCAACTCAGAAGCTTAAACATAATAGCAATAATTAATATTTGTATAGTGTTTCATGGTTATAAAATGTGATGCACACATGATTTAACCTTTACAACAACTCTTTGAGGTGAAATAATTATCCTTGTTTTTTCAGGTTGAAGGAATTGAGGCCTATAGAAATTGTGACTTAAAGCCATTAAGTTGTGGATATAGAATTTATACTCAGATCTTGAGGCCCCAAATCTTATGCCTCTTTCATTACTTAAGAGTCCAGGATTAGGCACTAAATTACTGAAGAATATTAAGTCATTAGATGAAATATATTTTTGATTACTTAAGTGTGGATCTAACACTGTAGTAGTATTAATCATCTAATGAATTATAATTGCCTAGTATTGTTAAGAACCTTGGTTAACTTAACCAAAGGCTCAAGGTTAACATCACCAGTAATAAGTCATTTTGATATCATGTGATGAGAATACATCACCTTTATAGTGTTCTTCCCCCAAATCCATAAACTCAGGGTAATTCAGAAAAAACATCAGACAAACCCAAACCAAGGGACATTAAATAACGTTCCTAATCACTACTCTTCAAAAATCAAGACTGAGGAAATGTCACAGATTGGAAGAAGCTAATGAAAAATGATGACTAAATGTAATCTAAATGTAATGGTATTCTGGATTGAACCTGGAACAGAAAAAGGGCATTAATGTAAACATCCAAATAGAATATCCTGAATATAAGTAATTGTATAGTACCAATGTTAATTTCTTAGTTTTGATAGCTGTACCATGGTTGTGTAAGATGATAACATTAGATGAAGCTGGATAAAGGTATACAGGAACATTCTGTGCTATCTTTGCAACTATTCTATAAACCTAAGATTTCAAATAAAAGTTTAGCCTAATAACTACAAATAAACTTTATTATATATATTTTAGAGAAAGATGGAAAAAATTTCCTTTTAAAAGGTTAATGAATATCAAAGAACATGGAGATTCTAAAAAAAGGTCTATACAGTGTTTGAATTAGGCTGGGCCATGAGTTAATGTAGTAGACCAACTATGAGAATGGATAGATTAAAATTATTTTTCTTTGTTTATGTTTATTTACAGAGAATCTATATATATTTTTATTCTCTCAGTATGTAACACTGAAATGACATAGTTTCTCTTAAGGGAGGAATTCTGGAGAAATGAAAAGTGAATTTTCCTCCTTAATTCAGTGTTTATTTTTCTTTTATTCCTTTTCCTATAGAGGGCAATTACTGTGGATACTGGCTATCCAAACATGAAGAGGTAGGTCATAGGGAAGAATCAGTTTCATCAGGAACTGCACAAACTTTGCAGCATGGAGGGTGAATTTCAGGGAGGCAACAGGGTAAGTGGAAAGAGCACTAGTTTTGACCTAGGTCTGTCACTTCGTAGCATGACTTTGGGAAAATTCTTAACCTCTCAGAGCAGCTTTTTATGCTGTAAAATGGTGGTTGCAAGAATTAAATGAGATAAGTGTGTGAAGTACCTGTACATTCTAGACACCCAATAAAAATTAATTCAATAGTATTAGTTATTATCTACTCAAAACCTTA